GGAGGCGGAGCTTGCAGTGAGTGGAGATCACGCCACTGCGCTCCAGCCTGGGCGACACAGCCAGACTCCGTCTCAAAACAAACAAACAAACAAAAACAGCAAAACAGAGTAAAAGCCGAAACCCGAGGCCCTATCCACAGCCCCTAGGGCCTGACATAATCTGCCTCCGTTTATCCCTCTGGACATACCTCCTGCCACTCTTCCCTGGCTGCACCTGCCTCCTCACCCTCCCAGAACCATAGCAGCCAAATTCCTACCTCAGGACCTTTGCACATGCCTGGAGTGCTCTTTCCTCCACATTCCCTCACCTCCTTCGGGTTTCTGCGCAACCATAGGCTTGGCCGATAGCCTTCCCTGACCACTCTTGAGAATGACAAATCCCTCTCATGACAATACTCCCTCTGATGCATTCCATGCACTCTGCCTATTTTCACCATTATCCTTACTGCTGGCTGACATGGCATAGATTTAGTTGCTTGGTCGTGTGTTCCCCTCCACCCCCTTCCCCCGAGAATGCCAGTTTCACAAGGCAGGGATTTTGCCAGACCTAGAAGCGGCTGTGTCCTCAGTGCTGGGCATATGGCAGGCGCTTGGGAAACACTGACCAGAATGAACAAATGAATGTATTCGGCGCACCAGGCATGTCACAGCTGTCACTGCCTAAGCCCTCACATGGGGCCTGACGACAAACAGCTTGTTAGTGACAAGACAGGTCCAGGGTGCTTGCCCAGGTCTGCAGTGACTCCAGGACTTGAGGGGTCTCCTCCTACTGTGGATCAAATATGGTAGTTCCCTCTTGTCCAAGGGGTGTATGTCCCAACACCCCTAGCAGATGCTTGAAACTGGCTAATACTGAACCTCTGTACACTGTATTTGTGTGTGTGTGTGTGTTTAGAGACGGGATCTCACTCTACTGATGAGGCTGGTCTTGAACTCCTGGGTTCAAGCAATCCTCTGGCCTTGGCCTCCCAAAGTGCCGAAATTACAGGCATGAGCCACTTGCACCTGGCCCACTATGTTTTTTTGGATCTAATAACCCAGATAGCTCCTAAGTGGTGAGCGGGTCATATCCAAAGCGCGGATATGCCAGACAAAGGGATAATTCACATCCCAGGCAGAACAGCGGGATGGCTTGAGATTTCATCCTGCTACTCAGAATGGCCTGCAATTTACATTTTTATTTGTATGTTTACTTCCGGGATTTTCTATTTAATATTTTCAGACCTCTGTTGACCATGGGCATCTGAAAGCAAAGCTGTGGATAAGAACCAAGGTTTTTTTTTTTTTTTTTGAGACAGAGTCTCGCAGTGTCTCCCAGGCTGGAGTGCAGTGGCAAGATCATAGTTCACTGCAGCCTCCAACTCCTGGGCTCAAGCGATCCTCCCACCTCAGCCTTCCGAGTAGCTCAGACTACAGGTAAGAGCTACCATGCCTGGCTAAAGGGACCAAGTTTTTGAACTGACATTGAAGACCCTGCTTCTTTCCATCACAATGGCTTGCACGCTTCTACTTACATTCCCATGTTCTGGAATCTGGTTTCCCCCAGAATTCCCATTCAAATCCGATTTTGAAGATGCCCCAATCCAGGAGTCCCAGCAGTCTCCTCACCCCAGCTTCATCCTCTTATTCCCAGGCCCCTCTGTCCTTCATAGCTCTGGATGGCTAAACTGTGTGGCTTGGACCCAGCCCATCACCTGGGGGCCTTGCCATCGCCCCTGCGGGCGCAGGTCCAACCTGCTGTGTGCATACAGCCCCCATCCAAGCCAGGGGGAAAATTCCCAATAGTGATGAAGTGGGGTGATGTAGTGCCCTGGGGAGTCCCTGTCTGAGGAGCCAGCCCAGTATTGGGGGACAAGCGCCCACCCTTCCGAGGAACTGAGTTAGAGGTTCATGCCCTCGCCTGTCCTCCCAAGATCCCCACAGTTCCCGGAATGCCCCTCCCTCGCAGCTCCTGGGATCACCATCTCATCTCTCCTCTGGGATCCAAACCCTGTAATTAAATGCCAGGTAAAAATAGCTGCCCCACTTCTGCGAGATCATCTGTGAGGCCTCTGGGCCATAGGGCACCGTGGGAATTCCCTCTCTCCTTGGGGCAACCTCGCCATCAATCTGCAGTCAGTAACCATGGGACAGCCCCAGGGACAGAACAGGGCTCCCGGTTGAGCCTGCTTAGCTTCAAGGACGGGTTTCCAAACCAGTGGTCTCCTAGGAGACTCCTGCCTTGGTACCGGGGGAGGGGAGTAGGGAGTCTGGAAGGTTTCCTTCAAGAGGTGGTTATTGCGTTGGGCTTCATGAGTGCAAATAAAATAAAGAGGGTGCTGGGGGCCTGAACAATGAGTTGGGGGCAGGGCTTATCAGGATATTGGCGGTTGGGTAGTGGTGGTGCTGTTTAGAGTTCATGAAGGTGGGGGGAGGATGGGGACTGAGGCCCCCACGAGCTTTGCTCATGCCTGACCTTTCCCCTGCCCCCTCCTTTCTTCCCCTAACTCCTACTCACCCTTCAATAATTAATCCAGAAGCCACTTCTTCCAGGAAGCCTTCCCTGACACCTCTCCTTTCTCCCCAACCCAGGCCAGCACAAGTGTCTCCTCTGAGCTCCCACGGTCTCCTCCTGTCTCTCTTGCATGGTGCTAGTTGTAGGGTACTCCAAGTGTCTGTCCTCATCACTGTCTCCCCATCTGACACAGAAAGTGCGCAGGGTAAAAGGGAGACCTGAGTCATAGTCCAGGCTCCTGGAACTTGCTTCTTCCCTGAGGGGTGGAGATGGGAACACACCTGCCACCACCACCACCACCATGGTCTCCAGGGAAGGTGATGAGCCCAGGCCCAGGCCTTGACCTGCGGGGGTGGCATTTCCTGGAGTGGCGGTGGGGCCACAGCTGAACCCATGAAACCCTGTCCCTGAGCTCCAAGCCCAACCATTTATCCAGTATGCTAGTGCCCCTGATGGTGGCCACCTCTCTCCCGGTACCATTAGGACCCCCCGGGGGCTCAGAGCCAGTGACTTGGCAGCCTAGGAAGGGTAGGTGTGGGGTCCCTGAGTGACATGATTATGCCCCCACATGGGGGCAGGCAGGAAGTCAGCCCCAGTGCCGAGTCCTCAGACATCAATCCCTGTTGCCCCCAGCTCGTCCTGCTGGCTGGAGGAACCTCTGGTAGGGAGAAGGCACAGAGATGCAGGACAGGGCCCTGGGGGAGGTTCTCGCAGGTGCGTCTCAGGTAGCCCTTACTGGAGTGGGAGTGGAACTTAGAGAGGAATCTTCCAAGGGCATGGCAGGTGTGGCTAGGTCCTAGGCATGGACTGGCCTGGGAGGTTGGGACTGCCCTGACCTCCCCTACCTAACCCCGTAAGCCAGCCAGGAGCCTGTAGGCCTGATGCTGGGCACAGCAGTCCTCAGTAGGACCAGCCCCGGATACACAGATGAAGCGGGTTGAGCAGCTAGAGGTATAAGTCTCCAAACAGCA